TGGTGGTACGCTGATGTTGGGTTGTGCCCCGTATTGGTTGAAGGTACTCTTGCTTCCATTGCATCTACTCCAGTCAAGCAAAGCGTCAAATCAAGCGACAGCCAAGTAAAGATGCCCACAACTGAATTCCGAACGCGCGCTCCGCCATCTATATGCACACCGCCTCCTTGATTGATTTCATTGATATGTGGGGTTTAACATCCCATAACCACCACATGACTATGAGAGACACTGTAGTGGGGGGTTCCGGAAGTTTCGACCACCTGGGGTTCTTCACTGTGCACCAAAATCTGAGCACATGGGCCTACAGTTCCGCCTCCATCGGAAATGCAGCCGCCGCAGCCGGGATTTGATTCCACAACCTGCGGGTCAGCAACCGAGTACCTTAGACACTAGACCACCACGGCAGGGCGCACACCACCTGCGTTAGAGTGAGAAAAGAATGGTGGTGCACACCCTAACTTCGAATTCTAGGCTTGCTGAACGCGTGGTGGTGTCTTGTAGTTTAATGGCTCTGGGAGTGCCAGTTCTGCGGCTGTCGTCTTGGGCTGGCAAAAGACGTGAGTATGCGAAGTGGGGGTGTGAATGGCGCCACCGGCGTCGAAGATTGACATCGTGCGACTGAAAACGATGCGCATTTAAAATGTTTTCACCCCTTCCTGCTTTACAACTGTGATGACCGAAGCCTGCCATCATTGGTGGCACACAGTTGCAGTGGCTAGGTGTAGCAATCGACGGAAGCTGGTTTTCCAAAGATAATCTCTGTCACTTGAAAGAGGCTGGTGCCGACTCCACCACGGTGGAGCAGTAGTCATGGTGCTCGGAGGTGGGTCTTAAGGTCGCGGGTTCAATCCCGTCTGATGTGGTCACGATTAGGTGGAGGAAAATGGTAGAGGCCATGTGCTGTGTGATGTCAGTCGACGTAAAAAAACTTGGTAAAACATTTCCGGCGCCCACCACTACAGCGTCTCACATAATCATATCTTGCTTTTGAGAAGTGAAACCCCAAATATTAGTATTATGTCTCTTCATACATGTATGGTTCACTCACAGTCTTAAAAGAGTTGTCAATCACTGCAATGAATTGAGTTTTGGTCTCAGCGCAAAACAAGTTGAGCAAATTGCGCTTGGAAGATGGACCACTGCGTAAACATAAGCTAGCTGTTTCAGAGTTTGGTTGTTTTTCAAAACAAGTCCATAGCTAGGTGTCTCGCTGCTTCAACCCTATTTATTGCATTCCCTTGTCATGTAACCAAGTATATGTGGGGCAGATGGGGTGGTGCCTTAATGTGCGTTTGATGCAGCATCACAATTCCTGTAAAAGCCCGGCATGCTCATATTATTCCTCCATTGCCACCAGTGTTGGTGCTCTCGTGTTTTTGGTTCTACACAAAAGCCAAAAAGCATGTGAACTTGTTGAGCCCGCATGCAACTTTAAACAGTCGCATGTTTCAGTCAAGGCTGAGTGACAGTAAATGATAAGGAAGTATCAAATCCTAAGATAACTTTTGTAGCAATTCAGTGATTCACATATGCTGGCTAAATTCTCTGCTTTCCAACAGAGTTCTCTCTCTCTTTCTCTCTCATTTGGAAGAAACAAGCACTGAATATTTTCTTTTCACTTCTTATAAGAACGCTTATTTCAACGACACCGCCTTCGCTTTTCATTGCTTCCTGAGTGAATCTTTTTTTTCGCACTTTTTACTACCGCTAGTTTAAAAGATTGTGCGGCCACACCACTCACCCACTTCTCTTGGGGGCGGTGGTAGGAACTGTAGAACGCGATAGCGTATTCGTGCTCTGTTGGTATTGCCTTCCCAATCGCTTGCCAGCTTTCATTTCTCGGCGGAGACTTCAAGCATGCTGAAAGGAAGGTCAATGTTCAGATTCCTCAGATTCATACGTTTATCTGCATACGCGTCGAATTTTCAATGACGGCCAACGCACAGTGGTAGAACAGCAACACTGGCAACGTTGCCGCTCCATAGGCACTGGGAGGACAACGTAATTGGGCTGAGATTACACAAAACGCTCTCGTGAATTTCGCATTCTGCAAGAAACATTTTGCGAAAGATGAAAAGAAAGCGAAATGAGAAAGTAACGTTGCCGCTTTAAAGGGGTTCGTGGCGCAAAACAATATCGCCTTTGAGCGAACAAGTAAACAAGCAGTTTTTCCCTCATCAGTCGAAGAGCCCACGTGATTGTATATTTGATCGGAGGCCCTACGTAAAAACCTCGCGCGAGGTGATGAGCTCATCTGTTCTCGGTGCAAACACACATGAAAAATATTTAGTGCTTAGTCTTCCACCGTAAAGCTTTCGAGATTTGTTGACGACTGGAAAATGGGTCTTTTCTTCAAAAATGTTAGACACCAAAACTTTCTGACGAGTTATGTTCACTTTTTGTCACACACGCAGTTAAAATCAGAGAAGCCAAGCTCAAATTCCACTATTTTACTTGCTAAGAATGTCTTTGCAAAATGCATACACCTCAAGCGTATCTATCTATCTATCTATCTATCTATTTATCTATCTATCTATCTATCTATCTATCTATCTATCTATCTATCTATCTATCTATCTATCTATTCCCAGCATCGCACTGATCATGACTTTCACAGCGGGACAATCCTATCACGTCTGTCGTCAAACCCACTGCTCCAGGCGCGGGTCACACAAACCCGCAAATCATGGTCCGCAAGACTGCAGGTGTGAGCCCCGTGTGATTGATAGTTATTATTTAACCAGGAACAATAAGGAAAGACATTGTAGTCTAATGATGAGAATTATGTGAAACTGACACCAGCATCATTATTACTATCAATGCAAAGATGAAAAATCAAGACTTCAACTGGCATAGGATGATTCGAGCGTACCGCGTGGCAATCAGATATGCAATCATGGAGCCAAGAGAAGTCTTGGAACTTTTTTTGAAAAAAAGATTCTATGCTGGCGTAGGGTGGGTGCAACATTTATTGTGCTTGATGTGCTTGCTATCTAGTTTTAAAACAAAGCAATGCACATTACATAGGCACACGAATGATAGAGAAGTCATGCGAGGTCAACTTCAATTGTGGTTTCAAACTTACCACTTTACTGTAGTCTAATTACATTGATTCGTATTCCTATAATACATCAAGCTAAATTCAGCAGTTGATAGACCCCGGGAGAACAAGCTAAGGAAAATTATGTGTGAAAGTTGCATCATCACACTCTAAAGCACACTGGATAATGTCTGTGCTCTAATGTGAGTGCAGACATTATGTCAGACCTTCAGTTACACATTGTATTGACCAGTAGAAACCTGTGTAACGCGCGTTCCTGGTAAGCCCACGACGTTCACACAAATATTGTACTTAGCATCCATCCACCTGTTAATGTATGCCTCGAAAAAAATCAGCGTAGACAAATATTCACCAGCAACTATGCATGAAAAACTTTCCCTCGAGCTGTAGAATTAGTCAAGTTTTTATCACAAAGCAGACATGCCCTTAAGGTATAAATCTCGACATTTGCGTATCATATGGGAGCCTCAAGCAGTCTGTTAGAGTAATGTCATATGCAGTATAACACTTACTATTTTTCGGCCACTCGATTCAAATTTCTGCTTGCGTTATGGCCAATCGGTGCGTTATGGGCCGCGACAATCAGTGATAATCAAGCATGATAAATTAAAGCTAGTAGTCGACATGGTTGCAAGTAGGGCCGTATTGTATGAACCTGCAACAACACATCCTACGTTAAGCAATTCGTATCTAGCTTAACCACAGCATGATCAACTATCGCAGATAAGGGTGTTGAAATATTTATAGCAATATTATTTATTAAGCATGCAAGATATTTGTTTGGTCAGCCACTTACTAGGCTGACATTTCAAGTATCAGTGTTTGTCGCTCAAGGGTTTCGGTGATTCACAGAGGCAGTGATTGCGGTGTATGCCACAATTCAGGTTTCCCTGTTCTAAAAATATGGGTAAATGAATAACACTCAAGTGCGGGCAATGCATGTATGACGCCACGTGCTTACGTTTGACTGGAGCTTGAACTTTCCGTGTGAACGGAGCAAAGAACAAAGCTGACAACATTTGTAGCAGCCCGGAAAGCACTCAAACCGTTTTTTTTGAAAAACTTGTTGATTCTTGCTTCCGAAACACCCAATATTTTTTAGACAAGCCCACAGCCAAGTACCCTACTTATGGAAATGTCCTGCATGAGAACGAGGTTTAGCTATATTCGGAGTCTCCCAAAAATATTCGGAGTCTCCCAAAATATATTCCTCAAAATATTGTCGCGAAGGCAACACTGGCATGGTGTCGCTAGCTAAACGGTGCATATGAGCACAGATGAGTGATCTCATTGAAGTGCAATGCCACACACGAAGAATGCAGTGGCGACGAGAATGGGCTTCGAAATAGGATGCACCACATTGCCTGAGGCTTCGGCGAGTAAGTTTTCCAAGTTTGCTGTTTTCGCATTCAATTGCAGTAAAACACCGTGATGGCAGTTTGACGGTTATGTGCTAGGCTTCATGGTGTCAGTTGCCAAACTGGTTGCATGGGACATGTCTGATAACCAGATGACCGCGATATCACAATATTTGTGGAACTGACCTCAGGGACCAGTCAACGGAGAGGCTGATCATCATCTTCATTCATGCTGCTTTCATCGCTGCTTGTCGTGTCATCATCTAAGGCCACTACAACTTGACTCGTTGGTTGTTAACAATGACATCGCGTGCGCGAGACGAGTGATCGAATGCTTTTCACTACCCTTCTCTTACCTCTTCTCTTCTGTCTCTTTAATTCCAATTCCCCCATTCCCTGCGCTAATCTGTGGTGGTGCCCTCATCAAGAGAGGCAGTAACGGAACAGCGCTTATCTCTTCATCTTTCCTCTTTTCAAAGCCACTTCTACTTCGACATCAATAATAGTGCGATCAATTCTCATCATATGATCCTCCACTTCTAATACGTGGCTCACGTAAATTTTTCATTTTTGTGCAGTGACTTTCTCTATGCCTTTCCAAACAAGAACATCGGGGCCTTCCGTCTTGAAGTTTGTCTTGGCTTTTGCAACATAACATTTAACATCACTCCACACGAGCTCAACTGGGTTGAACTCACAGTGGTATGGCAACAATCGTATGACGGTGTGACCAGCATCATCAGCAATGCACTCGATGCGATACCTATTATCCCCCGTACTTACGGCTTGAACAAGCTTGATCAGTTCTGCCTTCACGATGTCACTGTTCCAGGACACACCCTTTAGAGAGAGCCAGGCCTGAATGTCTTTTTTCTACGTACTCATATTGGGTATCTTTTCAAGCTTCACAGAATAATAAGATGCCTTATCAAGCACATTGGCACTTTGTGGCAGCAAATTTGGCAGTAGCTTTTTAAACCACTTTTCGTAGTAGGTGCCGTCCATTTCATCATGATAGTCACCTGTTCCCTTTCTGGCTTGAAATACTTTACCGGCAGTTGTGATGAAGCCGTCCTCGTTGCCACCGTAAGTAATAATGAGGCGACCTACTTTACCACTGGGGTTAGGCGGGCCTGTCATCAGGTTGGCTTTCTTGGCGTGCTCAGCTGGTTTAATGATCTCGTCCACCCACCAACCACTTACAGTGTGCCCTGGGTTCACATAGGTTTCATCAGTGTAGAATCTAGGTCGTTCCTGGCGTTGAGCCTCCTTAATTTGGCGCAAGTACTTGCGTCGCCAGTGGATGATTTGAGTGGCCTCGATCAGGAGCGAATTTCGGGAACGCTTCTTACAGCGGAAGCTTACCTTGAGCAGCATCATATGAATAGTTGTCGCGGAAATAGGCGGCAGGGTGTCATCTTCTTTGAAGTATCCGGAGGGTTTGTGCACCGTCAGAATTTCCCGCCGTTTAAAGGAACCGTGCATGACTTTGTGCCATACACCATGGTCGAAGTCATCCAGCAGGTGCTCTCTATCACGGCCCCTGCCACCACGAGACAGCGTCTTGGATGAAAGTACTTCTCCGTGCTTATCGTGCTCCGCTACCCACTTGTACAGCGCATGCTCGCTGACGTTGGTGAACGCAGCTGCTTTCTTAATGAGAGAGCTCATGCTAGCATTTCTGGCGCCCTCTTTACGCAGTGTCTCGAACACACTTAGAGCCATCTGCTTCACTCCATTGTCGTAAAAGTGGATCCGGGAACGATATCACACAGGCAAACCAGGCGCCGCCATTTTAGTAGGAGTGACCAAATCTGCCACCACGGACTAATCACAACCCAAGACTGGGTCCTCCGCGGCGCTGTGGACGCTCGGGCTGGGTGGACTGCTCATAAAAGTTTAGACAGTGTAGTACCATTATTTCGTGCTTTATAAGTAAATAAATAACACATATGAGCCACAACAACGTTATTTTTTTCGTCATTTGCATGTTATAACAACTGCAAGCAAGAACTTTTTCTTCAGTATCATGGATCCACAAAATGTTTTTCCACAGAAAATGCGACAAACTCGTCATATAGATCACAGCTACTACACAAAGAGAAGCCTACAAGTAAAAATCCTCGGACGAGACTGCTTGCTAAAGTTACGAGGACAAACAACGGGCTACGTATATGGGGCACTACATCTCGCTTCGCAACAACCTGTGTTCGAGGGTCGTGTAGCCTTCGCTTTGCTGCGCTGAACTTCTGGAACAGAGTATATATAGCGTATCCTACAAAATAAGGGGAGCCAGAAGAAAAGCCTCTTTATAAAGAATTACTTCAGAGAAGCTAGGTTATATCTACATAGCATGATGTTGTATTCAGTCGTTTTTAAATTGTCAATGAACACGATTCCTAAACTACATTTGGGCTTAGGCTAAATACGAAGAAATAAAATTGGATTCTCACGAACATTCGTAATCACTGCGTTCACGACACTGACACAGATGATCAAGCTCATATGTGCTGCCTCTTGCTCCAAATGAAATCCAACTGCTGTGCTATTACACGACCGAGAGCTAAGCGCGTGTTGCGACACAGCACACGAGGGTAAATGTTATATCAGGCCTGCACTTACGACGCGTTTAGAAGCTACAATCGCCGCGTCGTGCAGTACGCATGGCCAGGCTAACTAAAGGCACGCTCACCTGTGCCTCCTTTCCACAGCACACATGTCTAAATCCTTCGCTCTTTCTTTCCCATTTCACTCATTGCTTCCAAATTTAGGAGATGTGAGTTAAGCATCTGCCTTTCTCCTCACAATCACGCACTTTCCCTTTTACCAACAGCTATGTGTTCCTATCAGTAGTTTATATCCAAAAAATTTTTATTTAAATCAAAATAAAGAAGAAAATTAGAAGCAAGCAGATAGTAATGTGCGCTGAGAACCTTGGATACTTTCTAAAATCCGTTCGTCACAGAACAATAAGAAATATTACTCTAAAAATAGAAACCCTCCTTTTCAGTTCTAGTTCTGAATAACTAGAATTATATAACTACATTAGAAACTGCTTATCGGTGCTGTTTTGGTGTCGCTCGCGAAATTTTTTTTGCCAGCAATGACAACTAATTCTAGGAATAAATCACTTGATAAACTCAAATATTTCGCAGGAGCAGCCAAACGTTTTACTAAAGCACGGTAGGAGCTTAAACGATTCTCTTCGTGCACGCTATGTGTATACAACAATAGAAAACATCAAAGAAAGTTCCAACTTCCAGAACACTTAAGGCCGATAACACACCCAAGTCTCTACGAATCAAGCGCCGCTGTTGAACAAATAAAAGTACGCGCCTCACTAACACACCTGTGCTATAAATGCCTATTCCATGAAAAGCGATGTCCGCTCTTAAAGGTTCAGAACTAGCCATCGTTCCGTAGCTGAGTAGAGTTGACCCGCATGCTCAGCGAGTCACGTTCAACAACGACGGCCTTAGTCAAACATTTCAGCAAGTCAACATTTTTGTGAATGTTGCCACGGATGACAAAATTAGAGAATGAGCTATATTTGCCTTTTCTCGCCCATGGTTGATCAGCTGACACACGAAATAGAGGATGTCCGTTGGTGTTCCCAAAAGCACTCATTTGAGAAAAAATATACGCCAGTGGCCAGCACTCGAAATACACTGCAATTACATATATGTAGTTAATAGGCACATATGCAACAGTACTAATGCTAGACAGCTCAGAAGTGCCGAAAGTCACAGTAGCAATGGTGGAAAGAAAGGGCAGAAAGTAATTATCGCAGTAATATCTCTATAATGAAATTTTCTACAATAGTCATTGAAAAAGTAAGGATCATCTCCTAATATCTCAATATTTGATCGTTCCAATGAACATTTATAGGCACAGTAGAATCTGATACTTGTCCGCGAAAGAACCTAAGTGATTGTTCTGGATCAATAGTCATCTGCTTGTCGGGAAAAAATGTTGGCGAATATTTTTGCTCCCACCTGTTGTGAAGTGCAAGCTGTACTTACATTTTTACATGCAAAATAATAGGTCTTTTCCAATGTTTGGTTTCTTGTGCCTAGTTTATGGACCAACTGTGAGGAGTAGAACAAGTGTCAGAACACGATGTTGAGACTTCCAGAATGGCGGCACAAATGTGTACGACAAGGAGTGGAGCGCCACGGAGAGTATCCAGACCAATCAAACTGTTCTAGTGGTCTAGCTATTGCACTAGATTTACAACGAACAGTTAGTAGTCAGTAAGACAAATTTGCTCTTGTTAGCCTCCTACAATTCGCGAAATTCTACCTGATATATCCAAATATCACAAAGCTTGTTCAAGTTGGGTTTAAAAAAATGCTTATACACCAACTCAATCACCAAAATACGTCAAGTCGACTGGCGTTTTTGGCCGGCTACCAATAAGGCAGGGATGATTTGTTTTCACCCAATGTTGCACAGGTGATGACGAATAATAGTGCACGCAATCACAAAAACAACAAAGTGGTGTCACCACTCCTTTACACAAAAAGCAAAAAAATATTCAAGCAACTAGCTTACGCCAGTTAAAAATGATTGCTACCATTTTCCGAGTCAAAAATGGCATTTTTAGTCTTTAATTTCATAAAATATGGGCCACAGTTACAGGTGACGTACACTGTGAAACACTCGCTAAAATATAAAGTTAGATAAACATTGATGACATCACAAAATTTCATCCAGAGTCGTCCTCTGACATTACAACGTGCATCCCCCGCAGGGGAGTCTGCGTACGCAGGCGTTTGGTGTGTAGAGACACCACGGACCCAAGCTAACAGAGGGGTTTCGACTCCCTTCCACGCCCAGCCATGCATGGCTGAGCCGTGTCCTGAGAAAAGGGAATCCTGGGAGTTGAGCTGACGCTGGGTGCTTGGACATTTAAGGCCCGCGGCAGAGGCAACACACCGCTTTGGCTCCGGCTTCACGTAGATGGCACCCCTGGGCTGACCAACCAAGGGGAAATCAGCAGTCGCCTTTTTTTATCTCTCTCTGTCTACATCTTCGTCTTTATCTCTCACTTTTTATCTGTCCTGTCATCTTCTCTTTTCCATCTACTTCCAAATTTTCTGGCAGCAAGGGTTAACCTTGTGTCGATACCCAATCTTGGCTATTCCATATTATGTTATGGCAGCGCTGTACAGCTGGCATCGACAGTACTTGCCCAGCGTCTCCTGCCACGTCCCCTTGTTGGGCTCGGTGGTGGGCGGCTGGCACTCCTGCCGAACTTTATTGTCAATTTATGCCAAATGCTTCCCCCCCTTCCAAATCGCTCCCTGAAAAGGTGGTGCACCGAAAACACATTCATGCTCAACACACCAAAAGCAACCTTTCCAAAGTACCATGGTATTCATAGCCAGAGCAGAAAGAAGACAGTTCGCACTGTTTCACCTTTTCTTGTGACGAAAACTCTTACCGAAGCATCACAAAGATGGGAAGTACTGATCTCCTTTTGGAGGTTCGTGACAAAGATGAATTTGAGAAGCTGTCTAAACTTGTAGCGTTTGGAGAAACCCCTGTTTTCGTGGGCCTACACCAGACAATGAGCACTGTCTTCGGCGTTCTTTCTGATGATTACCTTCTCCAACTCTCAGAAAGTGAACGATTGGAAGGCTGGCAAGACAAGAATATAGTCAAGGTACAGAGAATTATTACACGACGAGACAAGAAACACCCACCAAACACATAACTGTCACGCTCGGTACTAGTGACTTACCGAAATCAATTGAAACCGGCTACTGTAAGCTTCGTGTGAGACCATATCTCCCCAATTCTCATCGATGTTTCCCGTGTCAACGTTTCCGGCACGGATCGAA